CTCAAGCAGACCTGTCAATTCCCGATCCAACGATACGCAAAAGAAGGAGCATTCACGGGATTATCCTATCGTTCCGGTCCCAACTGAACTTGAACTTGAGGAGATGGGACGCATGCCTATAGCGACTATGACAAGGCATGCGTGCTTGGTGAGTAGTACTCAAGCGTCTTTGTCCGCGAAACAAATACGCCATGCAAAGAGTTAGCTTCAGGGGTCTAAGGACTGTTTTCTGGAAGAAATACCTGTAACTGAGACTAAAGTTCTCCGGTTGCTAAGAGAGGTAAACCCAACTGAGTCTTCCGGGCCAGATTCTGTTCATCCAAAATTGTTGCATGAATTGGCAGTGAAACTCACTGGACCATTGACTTGTGTGTTTCAGAAGCCACTCAACAGCTGTGTTTTACCTACCGAATGGAAGGAGGCTGTTGTCTGCCCGATTTTCAAGTGCGGTGACAAAGGCCTACCGGCTAATTACAGGCCGGTCAGCTTGGCTAGCGTGGTCATTAAGTTACTTGAAAAATTAGTACGAGATATAGTGGAGAACCATTTAAATATGTTTAGTCTGCTTAGCGTCGAGCAACATAGTTTTCGCAAAGGATTTTCGTGTCAGACGAACTTGCTGGTAGCTCGTGAGTGCTGGACTGAAGCCGTAGACAGTGGACATGCGGTGGATGTGGTGTTCATTGACTTCGCCAAGGCTTTTGACACTCCCCCATTCGCGACTCTCACTGAAGTTGAGGTCGTATGGAATAGCTGGTCGCGCTCTTCAGTGGGTGTCAGCTTTTCTGGATGGACGGGAACAGTGTATTCTTGTGGGAAGCTGTCTTTCGTTTCGACAAGCTGTACTTAGCGGCGTTCCGCAATGCTCTGTCCTAGGTCCGCTGCTTTTCTCAGTCTACGTGAATGACTTGCCGGAGGAGCTTGAGGTACCATCGTTCTTATTTGCTGATGACCTAAAGCTCTGGAATATTGTTGATATCCCTGGAGGTCCTGTGGCTCTTCAACGGGCTCTGGATAGACTCTGGGAATGGTGTCTTGTGGTTGCTGCCCATAAACCGGGCAAAGTGTTCAGTGCTGCGTATCGGAGTGTCTGCTTCCTCCACAAGTTGTGCTGGATGGGAGTGAACTTCCCCACGTGACTCATCAGGTTGATCTAGGTGTCGTCCACTGTTCTACACTACACTCTGGAGACAACTGGAAGAAGGCGGCTAGTAAAGGGTTCCGGATGTTGTGATTTATCCGTCGTTCTTTTGGGACCCTAACCGCTGATGTGTTTGTGAAGCTCTTCTCAACGTTTGTGCGACCCCACCTAGAATATTGCGTCCAGGCCTGTCCACTATGCCTTGTCCGGGCCAAAATGACACTAGAAAGAGTATTGCGTGTCGGTACTAGGTTGATCAAGGGATTACGAGGGCAAACGTACCCCGAACACCTACTTACTTTGGGGATGCAGTCAATGCACTATCGAAGGATTAGAGGGGACCTAATCCTAACCTACCGTATTTTGACTGGGATGGTTGGCCCTGATTTGTTCATGCTATTTAGTCCTTCTAGATTACCTGGTCTCCGCGGGCATTGTATGAAGCTGAACAAACCGCGGTCCGATCGAGTTAGAGCGGAGACACGGTTATCGCGTCGAGTCATCGAGCGCTGGAACCTGCTTCCAGAAAAGGTTATCAAGGAAGCTACGGTTAACGGGTTTGAGCGTCAACTAGACGCTCTTGGGTGGCAACACGAAACCTTTCTTTTTACCTGACTAATCCCTATCTTCATACTTCGATTCTATTTTCTTTACTTTTCCTCGCCGTTGGTATTATTCTCTTCTTTTAACTGATTTCCCTTACTCTCTTACCTTCGATTTTTCTTCCTCTCTTACTTCACGTAACTGACATAGAAGGGACAGCTAATGTAAGGAACGTGGACCAGGGTGTTTTTCGAGTGTTTTTCCTTTTAGACCCACCAAGAAGTCGGAGCACCCCTATCAACTCCTGGATCGACGACCCGCTCAAGGAGGCACACTTATAGGATTCATCCTATCGTTCCAGTCCCACTTGAACTCTCTTCTACTCTTGGTTTAAGGACCTGCTGATGAAGGAACACTCACGGGATAATACTATCGTTCCATTCCCACTTGAACTTGACAGTACGCTGCCCGCGTATTACAATACAATGAATCCCTTCAAACAATCTCCGACCTTCTGGTCGTCTCACGTAATGTTAAACTGCGCTCTATCTGCTGCATTGAGCAGGGTGGATAGGGATAAGAATGCAACCGCTCAGACCTTCCCGTCTTCTTATTCTCCTTGCGCTCTTTCATTCTCGTCATTCCGTTTCAACTTCACTTTCATCCCCCCAGTTTTCTACCCCCTATATTTTTGCCCCTCACTCATCTTGCTTCGATAATCACTTGTCTTCTAGTCTCCTCCCACACGTTGTCGCAAGGCGTCACTCTGGTCCAGTCGAAAAATCCATGTCCAACTAAGCGGACAACGTCAGTTCATCCGTTTTTATTTAGCACCCTTCATCCTCCCTAAGACTGGCGTGCCTCAACGTGTGCACTTTGCTACAGATTGGCCAAAAGGGCAGCACTCGTCCAAACTCTGGAGACCTTATCGATTGACATCTGTTGTTTGTCGGAAACCTTCTTGAAATATTCGACTTCTGTGATTACTTTGTGATCTCAACATGTGATACTGGTGATATTTTCTCGTTGCGCTTGTGCGGAGATGACAGCTTCAAATACCCGTCAAGCCGGTCTGGACGTTGCTTTGTGCCCTCAAGCTGAATCTGCCCTAGTTGATTTGATCCCAATGCACACTTGGGTGCGCGCTGTCAAAGTGGCTGGCTCTTTCAAAGCTTCGAAATCGAGCGGGGACAAACGGTGTCTGTCGTCGTTGCTGCATACTGCCCAACAAATTGTAGCTCTGACGCGGTGAAATATGTCTTCTATAACCACTAAACGAGCTCATTCGACACAGTAGAATTACGGATACTGTACTATGTTTCGGTGATCTGACCGCTCAAGTTAGAAAACCGTCCCCTAATGAGCTGAATCTGGATGGCCAACAAGGCGTAGGCTCGCGTAATGATAACGGTTAGCGGTTGTTACATTTGCGTGAAGATGATGGTCTATTTCTCGCAAGCACTAACTTCCGATACTTTCTTCACAGAAGTGTGAAATGGCGCCCACCAGCCTTACGCAGCCATAGACGCAAATCGACCACATCACGATCATTTGGAGATGCTTTGTCCAAAACTATCGCTCCATTTGGAGCGCGAACGTGGAGTCCGACCACGTACTTTTATGTGCCGACTTACAAGTACGTTTCGGGGGACGTCCGCAACGACGCTGTAAGCGCATAGATATTTGTCAACTGGCGAAGTCAGATGTTCTGTGTGCGTATCAGTGTACGCTGGCATCCGGACTGAGTAAGCACTCAAGTCGTCAGGACAAGCAAGTGCTTTATGCACCAAGAACGACTGAATATATAGCCGTAACACACGCTTTCAGCGATACATCATGAAGTTCAAAAATGTGGATCAATAATTAAAAAAGGATAGTATCATCACACCATAAACCGCTTTGTTAATTCTTGGATGACTGTTTTTGTCTGGTAAAAATCACGCTAGACGGGATAATTGACAAGCGATACGCCCGTGTACGGGCATATATGGATTCGTGCTTCTGGTTGACGAGCTTGAAACAGATTCAAACAATACACGTACACAGTTGACGAGCACTGGTCGCATATCCACCAGACGTTATGAGCAGCAGGCGTGTCTTCATGTTGAAAATCAAGTTGCCAACCTGGACATTGGGTCTGTAGGCAGTCTCTGAAACTTATGGATGCTCGTTGACGTGTTACCGCTGAGAGCGAACACAACGAACCTCGCAAAGATCTCAGGATAAAGCTGTGTGCTGGCCGGTAACGAGAGCGGGCAGGAGACCTGCTGCTAGCGACACCATACGCGACAATGGTGGACAGCCGATCTACAGCTTGTCAAAACGCTTGGAGCGTTGGGTTGGGCACTTCGGAAAGTAGTTTAATCAGTCAGAGTTCGCAACTTCTCTTTACACCATTGATCGCTCTCCTCCCTGGGCCGACCTTTTATCCGCCCTCACACGTAGAAGTCGAACGTAGATCTGCTTGTTAAAATTGTATAAGGCCGCGGGAGCAGATATACTTCCTCCAGTCATTTTCGGATTCGGGAATCTTTCTTGTGAAGGATTTGCACAACTTACTAATGAAAATTTTTGTGTATGAGACTGTCGCACCAGACTGAACGCGCTCCTTCATAGTCCCAATTCTGTAGAAAGGCTCCATTTCGGAATTTGGTAATCATAGAGAAATCAACTTGACTTCAGTTGTTTTTGTTACTTGCCTCGGTCGTTCCCCATAGACTGACTGGCACCCATGGAAGTCAGAATCGTGAGGAGCACGCCGGGCTTCGTCGAAGTCGTGGCTCTATTGATTACATCTTCACACTGCATCCAGTGTTGGAACACCATATTTATTGGCTACCCACCGTTGTCGTGTTCCCAGACATCAAAGGTGCCTTCGTGACAATCTCTTTCCTCCTTACTGTTGCTATGATCGCTGGCTATAATCGATGAGCTACCAGTACTTCATTTCTTCGAGACTGCCTTGAGATTATCAGATATCGTGCTCTGTGATAATCTTGGCTTTCCTATTGTCCCCGCAAAATATTCTGCTCAACGGACCTACTGGAACCGCAAAATCGTGTGATAAGGTTGCTCGCTGCCTAACGAAGACGATCACGTCTGGTTGACACACTTATCATGTCGAAGAGCCGGCTTAAGGGGCGTTCGTGTTGTTAGTTTCGTTGTCCCACCCCCCTCCCATTTATCTTCCATTTCCAGCCGCGTTCTCACACATGATGTTTAGTATGTTACAGCATCATATTACTTTTTATTTAGATATATATTGTTCGAAGGAAAAAAGTCATGGATACGGTGTTCGGTGGACACGACCTGGAAGATGTGGAGCTACTTCCTGGTGAGCGACTTCTTGGCTTGGAGTATGTAGACGATATTGCCCTAATCTGCGACAGCGCCCAGACGTGACAATCAGCACTGAACCGATTAACACTGGATATCAATTCTTTTGTGCTATGCTTTGCTCCATCGAAATGCAAATTTCTTTTCTAGGATTGGTTAGGACCCCCCTGCGCTGACCTTTGGTGGTGATCAGCTAGAAGTCGTTCAGGCATTCAAGTACCTGGACAGCTATATTATCGCCATTGGGATCGAACATGGAATTACGAAACGTATAGCAGAAGCTCGAGGTGCTTTTGCCAGTCTCCGCCACCTGTGGCGCAGATACGATATCACTTTCATCCTGAAGAGCAGAGTTTATAATGCAGCCGTCAGTTCAGTGCCCTTATACAGTTGTGAAACCTGGCCCACCAGGTAAACAGACCTAAAGAGGCTAGTCACGTTTGATCACCCCTGCCTTCGCAGCTTAGCTCACGTCTGGTATGTGCAACGCGTGAGCAATGAACGTGTTCAGCTTCGCGTATTTGGTGCAGCAAGAGCGAGTGAACCGCTCAACACCATTATATCACCCGCCATGCTCCGGTGACTGGGCCACGTGTTGCGCATGCCAGCACACTGACTCCTGCGACGTGCATTCTTTGCGCACCGGGGTTGCGATTGGAAGAGGAGGGGAGGCCGAGCGATGACTTGGTCGAGCGAACTTGTTGTAACGCTTCTTCTTTCCCTCTGCTCTATGTCACTGACAACTGTTGTATTGCTGTTTTGCTGCCCTGTGAGACTGCGACTGACTTCTCAGTCATGCGCTCAGCCACGCGAAGGAACACAAAAGAGCAGAACTCGGTAGACAGAGAGAGAGAGAGTATATCTACAGGATAGGTTAACTCTATTTATTGGTGAACGAAACATGCCAGTTTAATTGGTCAAGGTCACTCACTCTTCTGCGTCTGGTTTCCAGCCAGTGTGAGTGAATTCCGCTCCACGTGTTCGATTCCTTTGACGCGGGATGATACTTGCTGGCTGATCAATTCTCACTCCACTCCCAAATTCAGCGCAAAGGTCAAAGGTCGTAGCACGCCCGTGCTGATGACCTTTGCATATAGCGGACAGCCTACGTGCTCCGCTTATGCCTCTATTAGCAATGAAAGCCTTCACTTCAAAGCTGTCGTCGGTTGGTGCATGTTGACTGCCTGACTGAGGTCCTATGGACAAGGAACACGTTTAGTTGGACACATTTCTTGATCTGGCTAAGAGTCGGCCCCAGTGGCGTTTGTGTTGTAAGTTTCTTTGTCTATCCCCTCCGCTTTAGATTACTTTCCAATCCCGATCTCATACGAACTGTTAGTGGACGTCGTGTCTTTCATGGCCAACTCTATTCTCTGCAACGTTCATAACTTCCATGGCAGTGGAGAATAAGATGCGCTATATCGCAGTTAGCTTGTAAATCATGACGGTCCGAAGCTGTCCCTCGTGGCCCAGTGGTATAAACTGCTGACTGGCGGTTTAAGCCGCTGTTGGTCATGGATTCGAATCCTGATGGATCCAATGGATGCGCACTACTGATAATGCCCAACGGGCTGGACCTGCAGTCTAGTGCTTTTCCGGACATGTGGACGACTATCTGATTTGGGCGCTGGCTGCGAAGAACCTCAGTTAAGAAGTGCACAATATAATATTTAACATTACGTTGCTTGCTTTTGGATAATGTTGTAGTGTAATTTTTTTTACAATCTTATCTTTTTGTATTGCGACGCATTAGCTGAGGCGTGTTTTTCACCCTCAACTTACGTGTATTGATGGTGATGGCGATGAGATATATATGGTATTATGCAATGTTCTTTGTCTCGCTTTTCATATATCCTATCTCTTTGTTTTTCCGTGCCTTGGCTGAAGCGTGTTTCTCACCCTCAGTTAACCTGTGATGACAATAATATTAAGTTCGTTAGGCAAGGCAGTCCCTTGCAAAATCCATGTTGCGCGGCAATGAGAAACCTAAATTTATTCAAGCGGTTATCCATTGAATCTCACCAATTTTTGAGGCTCGCATTTGACACAAGTGGCGCATCTGCTGCCGTATTCTAGTCGCACTGCCTGTTTAAAGTGTACTGGTGCTGGATTATCTGCGAAGTAATGGCTGGTTATAACGTTGGGCAGGGAAAGCCGCAAGGATGCTGTCTGGCCGATGCCGCCTTATCTTTTCACGTTAGCCAGCTGTTTGTGATGGTATGTTGTTTACTAGGTGTAGGCGCATTGATCATGAATGTTTGCTTAGGACGTCAAGGTTTCCCGGTAAGTCCCCCTTCTCTCCCTCTTATTATTCTTCGTTCCGTTGGTCCTTATGGTTGTATGGTATCGAAGCATCAGTTCAAATGGTTGAGGCACTGCTGTTGATGGTGATGACCAATTTTTCAGGTACTTTACCACCACGGCAGTCAAGCTTTCTGGCTTGTAATGAATGGTAAGCTTTTATCACCACACTTCCTTCCACTCAGGAAGAAAGATGTGACTGTTGGTCGATTTCAGAAGCACAGTACTCGGGTCCATTGAGTTACGCTGCCAGTTCCCGTAGCACTTTAAGAAAAGCAAACTCTGGACCGGAAGCATTGGTTACATTCATCTTCCTCAGCAACCTGCGAACTTGAGATTCTGTCACACTAATTTCTTCCAGAAAAGGGCCTTCGGGGATCTGTGTCTAGCTCTATGCATGGCATAGTCGTTTTACGGTCAATGACGCTTGAGTATTGCTCACCAGGCACACACACCTCCTAGTCGCTGTAGATATTGGTTCCGTCCACTCGAAGCAACGCTGAAACGGACGAGTCTGCTTCATTACATCACTCCATTGATGGGCAATTGAGCTATTAACGCGGAACAGTGCGTAGTCAGACAGATATACTTCGCTGTCCATGATTTCCTCAGCTTCGTTTCAGTGAAGGCAAGTATGTCTGTACGTGATTTGTCTACGAGCAGACCAACTTCGCACACGTTATTTCTCGGGCTACGCACGTTGCCTAGAAGTAGTTGAATGATATCAGCACGACCAACTCCGGATCGTGCGTAAGTGAAGTAGGTTCTGGCAGAGCACAAATGGGCGACCGGCCAACCATCTGAAAACTCACCAGTCGATGACCTTGCTCGCCAGCCGCACACCGGCCTTTGAGGTCGCTGATGCCTTCCTTTAACCTGTCTGCTAACAGGTCACATTGGACGCTAACGTTGCTTTTTTAGCCTGAAAGCAAATCACAGTAATGCTATGAGCTCTTCTGGGGTAGAGAGGACCACTCAGCAGGCGAGATCAAAGATTCAGTTTATCAACCGGTCTTTTCTCCGACCTGACTAGATTCCTGACAGTAACGCTGAGAAAACCTGGTAACGCAGTTTATATGCTCGACAATGGTCACCTCATGCCAGCACACGATTGCTCCCGCATCTCTCTCTCCCGCTCTGCCCCTTCGGGGTGCTGAGCTCGGCCATGTCGCACCCCTAACTGCCCACGTTTCCTGCCTTTTGGCTGCATGGGCTTACCATACCCACGATGTGTTGCTGCATATTGCACCCGACTTTCACTCATATTCAGTCTTCGTTTGTTGGCACTTATTCCTTCAACAACGTTTTTCCATTCACTTTTTTCCGGCAGGCTTGGCCCCTGGAACGATCAATAATGAGATCCTTACGTTTGTGGGTGTTTTTACTTTTTGTCATGCATTCATGTGTTTCGGATCTGCATCAGTTAAAGTAAGAGTTAGTAGTTACCTTGTTTATTAGCACAGAAATCGAGTAAAGAATGTATTTTATCACGCTTACGACGGCTATATGAAATACGCCTTTCCTTTGGATGAGCTCCGTCCACTTACTTGCGATGGACACGACACGTGGGGTAGTTTTTCACTCACTTTGGTTGATGCACTGGATACTTTGGCTATCATGGGCAATTGGAGTGAGTTCAATCATGCCAGTCAACTGCTTTTGGACCATCTGAATGCGGATCGTGATGTTAATGTGTCTGTTTTCGAAACCAACATAAGAGGTGGGTGTGACCCAATATCATGTAACTTCTATCGCGCAGTCGTCGGTGGACTTATTTCTGCTCATTTATTATCTCGTCGGGCTGGTTTCCATGTGGAACCTTCTTGGCCCTGCTCTGGACCTCTACTACGTCAAGCAGAGTTGTTTGCTAGTAAAATACTACCCGCTTTCGATACCGTAACGGGGATGCCTTATGGAACCGTTAATTTGGCTCTCAATGCCGTTCCACCCAATGAGACCAAAATTACAAGCGTTGCTGGTGTGGGGACATTCATTCTCGAATTTGGCACATTATCTCGACTCACAGGTATGCAAGTATGACATGCTTTAACTGAGCATGATGAATAAGTATCCTTTCGGTCGTTACTTTTTCCCACAGCCGACGAAGCTGTTCATTTTTCGACCCTATGCGCTTTACTTGCTAGTTCATTGTTTCACTTTCTTTCTGTAATGTCGTAGACGAAGATTACCGGAAGGCAACCAATCACCACAACTGGTGGTAAATAAAAACCGCCAATGATAAGCGTTAAGATAGTTTACTAACAGCTTGTGTACAGGGCGTCTAAGCTACGGCTATGACGACATCGATACATTAGGGATCTAATCGAGTCGGCAGCAACGTTAGCAAAGGTGACTGTACTACGAAGTCGAAGACGGGAGCGAATGTGTGTCGAGCTATTCACACAACCGCATGCAAGCGAACGCAGACGGTTGCCTTATGTCCTCTGGGTACATGTTAAAATTAAAACTTGTTGATTTTACCGTCAAGCGAATGAAGGATTGTCGGATCGGTGCACTTTATCTCCCGGATTATCATCCCCTCTGAATTTTAAATATTCTTCTGCCCAGTGTTTGTTTAGGTACAAGAATCTAAATTGCTGAATAATGTGTTCTAGCTTTCTCCAATGACTGGAACTCGTGACAGATATCTATGGCACGCATTGGCCTTCTGTCAACGAATTTCCTTAGTTGACTATGCTATGGGACCCTGTCACTTTGACCTTATAATGATAATAATTAACAACAATGTTGTTATTAGGTAAGTATGGTAGGTAGGTAGGTAAAATAAGATACGAAGCAGTGAGAAAAATGGGTTACATAGAGAAATAATTGCATAGCAGCAATGAATGGCATTCATTAACGTCATCAACTTCGTTTGCTTTGCTCTAGCTTGTCACCACGTAGCTGATGTGGGAACGGCTTACTTTTTCTTTTTTTCTTCTATTATCTCCAATCAGGAGACCCTAGGTACGAGGAAGTCGCACTTCGTGCTTTGAGGGCTTTGTGGCAACAGCGTTCTTCGATAAATCTTTTGGGCAACCATATCAACATCATGACTGGCGAGTGGGTCGCTACCGAAGCTACCATTGGTGGCGCTGTTGATTCTTTGTTCGAGTACTTGGTCAAAGGAGCAGCATTGTTTTCTTTGCCCGAATTGGATGCAATGTTTCGAGGTAAGTTGTATATATACTCAAATATAAACCACGGACGATAATGCCTACTGTGTTGCTTTTCCCCAACCCTCAAACATCATGTATATTTACTGTACTAGTTTTTCAGCAAAACAGGTGACACTAGCTTGCTTATTCGGTGCTGATTGTGTTTGATCCATCGAATTCAAGTTGGACCTTATCGTGGTGTGATGCTTCGTGTGCCTCAGCGATCCATTGAGCTATGCTTGGAAGTGTTTATTGTTAGGCTTCCTCTGATAGTACGGATAACCGATGCAGCCACTCTGGTCACGATACAGCCACTTTCCAAATCAGAAGGCAAAGGCCTCTGGTAGAACTTGTATGGAGCACTCGAGAGACAGAATGTACAGCCAAAATATTGGGTCGAAATAAATAGTTCATGAGAGAAAAGATCTAATTGAAACTTCCTGACTATAGCAGCTACTAGATGCGCAAAAACTCGCTAGTTGACTGAGCGAGTAGTGTGCTTACTGGAGGGCTTCAAGGTACGTCATTTTGATTTGTCCACCTCAAGGTAAAACGACGCCATTGGCTTACTCCCATTAGTTAGCCGGTCGGCTACAGGCGGCATACAACCAATCTTCTCCAGACAGACAGTTAGCTTCGATGGCTGCTGTGGACGGGCTCCGGTAACATTTTTGTAGCATCAGAACCGCTTATACCAGATTTCTCAGTGGTCAGAGACCTCACCAACTCAGTCTCCTGGCCCTACAGATTGGGGCTTAGAGTGAGCAGGGCTCCCTACTATAAAACGGACTCACTGTAACCCGGTGTCAATACCCAGCTGCCTTGCGGTCAGGTTTTCTGAACCTAAGGCTTTGGTTGTGGACCCTAATCGTCCTCCTCTCTTTTCTGCATATTTTGACAATCTCTTGCCCACGAAGTGCTATACGATGAACTTCTCTCCACACTATTTCTTGATGCTCTGACAGTCGCAGAGGATAATAAGTGGCGCTTTTTCTGCTGCATTGAGCAAGGCGGATAGCGGTTTGGATGCTACTGCGCAGGCCTTCCAGTTTTCTTCTTCTTGCGCGTTTTCATTCTTATTGTATAGTCCTAACTTCAACGCTTCAATTCTCGAACCTCTCTCGTCTTACTTTGATATCGGTTTATCTTCTAATTTCAACTCGTACACAAACGCGGAGCGTCCCTCCTGCCGTGTCGGTTAGCCCATATCCAACCAAGCGGACAGACCCGGTCTGTAGATTGGCATGCCTCAGTGTACGCACATTATTATAGATCGTTACAGATTGTTACTGGCAGCACTTCGCCGAACATTAGAGAGCCTGTCGATCAATATCCGCTACTTATCAGAAACCCATCTGCAATCCTCGAACTCTTGGTGCTCTGGCCCCATCGCAATGAGGCTGGACCTTACCGTGGTGCGATGGTTTGTGTGCCTCAGTGATCCATTGAGCTATACTGGGTGGTGCTTTTGCACCTTCAGAGCCACTCATACCAGATTGGTCAATGGTTAGAGGCCAGACAAACTCAGCCTCCTGGTCCTCCAGGTTGGGGGTTGGAATGAGGGTGGCTCCTCATTCCTTAACACGGACTCCTTGTAGTCCAGTGCCAAACCCGCTGCCTTGCGGCCAGGTTTTTGAACCAAAAGCTTTGGTTGAGAACCCTAATCGTTCTCCTGTCTAGACCTGGGCAACTTGACAGTATCCTGCCCACGCAATACAATGAATCGCACTTCAAACAAATTTCTGATGCTCTGGCCACCGCAGAGGATAATCAACGGTGCCCTATCTGCTGCATCGAGCAGGGTGGATAGGGGTTTGGATGCTACTGCTCAAGCCTTCCCATCTTCTTATTCCCCTCCTTGCGCTTTTTCACCCTTATCGTCCCGTTCCAGCTTTACTTTTATCCCCCCTGTTTTCAACCCCCAATTCTCGGCCCTCCCCCACCTTGCTTCAATAGTCGCTTGTCTTTTAGTTTCAACTCACAGGTGAACGCAGAGCGTCATTCCTGCACTGTCAACAGGCCCATGTCCAAGCAAGCGGCCCATTCCAGTTCATCGGCTTCCATTTGGAGCCCTCGATCCTCCTTCAGACTGGCATGCCTCAGTGTTCGCACATTGCTTTAGATCGGTCAACAGGCAGCACTTGCCCGAACATTGGAGACCCTCTCGATCGATATCTGCTGCTTATCAGAAACCCGCCTGCAAGACTCGAGCTCTGTACTCACTCTGCGATCACCTTCAGGTGACACTAGCAGCACTTTCTCATTGCGCCTATCCGGTGACGATGCAGCTTCGAGCACCGGCCAAGCCGGTGTTGGTATTGCCCTGAGTCCCCGGGCTGAAGCTGCTCTGGTTGATTGGGTTCCAATCAGTAGCCGGATGTGTGCGATCCGATTGGCTGGCTCGTTCAAAACTTCGAAGTCGCGTGGGACTAACAGGTGTCTATTCGTTATCGCTGCCTATGCACCGACAAACTGTAGCGATGACTCGGTAAAAGACGATTTCTATCGCCAACTGAACGAACTCCTTCGCCGCAGAAGAAGCTCGGACACTGTAGTGCTGGCTGGGGATCTGAACGCACAAGTTGGAAAATTATCCACAGATGAGCTGCATCTGAGCGGCCAACATGGTATAGGCTCCCGTAATGATAACGGTGAGTGGTTACTTCATTTGTGTGAGGATGCTCGCTTATTTCTTGCGAGCACTAATTTCCGACACAGCACCCGCCGGAGGGTGACTTGGCGCCCACCAGCCTCGAACCAGCTATGGACGCAAATCGATCACATTGCTATCAGTTACCGCTGGAGAGGCTGCGTCCAGAACTGTCGCTCGATTTGGAGCACAGGTGTGGACACCCACCATGCACTTGTATGTGCTGACCAGCGGATGCGCTTTGGCGGACGCCCGCGACGATGTTGTGAGCGCATTGACACCGGCAGACTGGTGAATCCAGTTGTTCTGAACGCCTATCAAATTACGCTGTCATCCGAGTTGGATAAACGCTCACTGGATGCAATTGAAGCTCACTGGTCTCATATGCAACAGGCCTTACTAGCAGCAGGCAAATCCTCATGTGGTATGTCTAATCACCAACATGAACATTGGATCTCTTCACAGTCTTTGGAACTTATAGATGCTCGCCGGCATATTGCGGCTGGAAGCGAACACAATGAAACTCGCAAAGAGCTCCGGGCAAAACTCCGTGTTAGCCTGAAGAGAGACCGCGAATCCTGGTAGTCTCGTTATGCAACAGAGATGGAAATGGCCGCTGCCCTTGGTAAACATCGTGAGTTATTCCGTCTTATACGGGAAACGGGCAGCAGGAGACCTGGTGTTAGTGAAACTATACGTGACGAGAGTGGACAGCCTATCCACAACTTATCAAAACGCCTGGAACGTTGGGCTGAGCACTTTGAAAGGCAATTTAATCGGTCAGAATTGTTAGATTTCTCGCCGACCAGTGATCGCCCTGCTCCGTAGGCTGTTCCTTTGGATCCACCCTCTCGCTCAGAAGTCGAACATGAGATCAAACTGTTGAAGTTAAATAAAGCCGCGGGACCTGATGACCTTCCTCCAGCCCTCTTCAAATTCGGGGGACCTGCTCTTGTGGATAATTTACACGAGTTACTAGTGAGACTGTGGGAGCAGGAAACTGTCCCAACCGATTGGAGCCACTCCATCATAGTCCCAATTTCAAAGGAGGCTCACGATCGGAATGCGGCAACCATAGAGGAATCAGTCTGATCTCCATCGCCTCCAAATTGCTTGCCTCTGTCATCCTTCACAGACTGACTGGCACTCGTGAAAGCCAGATTCGTGAAGAGCAAGCTGGATTTCGTCGAGGTCGTAGCTGCATTGACCACATCTTCACCTTGCGTCAGTTGTTGGAGCACCGTCACATATATTGGCGGCCCACCATTGTCGTATTCCTCGATATCAAAGGTGCATTCGATTCGGTGGATAGACATGCACTTTGGGACTGTCTACTCAGGAAAGGTGTACCTGAGAAATATGTGAATATTATCCGAGCATTATATGCGCATAGCTCGGGCAGAGTGAGGGCTTACGGCAAGTTGTCGTCGCCCTTTAATATCTCCAGCGGCGTGAGACAAGGATGCCCGCTGTCACTTTTCCTCTTCAACTTCGCTGTTGACGAAGTCATGGAAATCGCGTTTACAGGACACGACTTAGAAGGTGTGGAGCTACTCCCAGGAGAACGACTTCTTGATTTAGAGTATGCTGATGATATTGCCCTCATCTGTGACAGCTCACAAACGTGCCAAGCGGCACTGGACAGATTAGCACTAGCTGTCCGTCACTTCGGGCTTTGCTTCGCACCCTCGAAGTGCAAAGCGTTTCTCCAAGATTGGTCTGGACCGCCTCCAACGCTGACCCTTGGTGGGGATCAGCTAGAAGTCGTTCAAAAATTCAACTACCTGGGAAGTTGTATCAGCGCCCGTGGGATTGAAAATGAAATCACGAATCGTATAGCAAAAGCTCGGGGCGCTTTTGCTAACCTTCGCCACTTATGGCGCCGGCGCGACATCACTCTTGCCCTGAAGGGTAGAGTGTACAATGCAGCAGTACGTTCGACCCTATTGTACGGTTGTGAAACCTGGCCGCTTAAAGCAGCGGACCTAAAGAGGCTAGTTACGTTCGACCACCGGTGCCTTCGTAATTTAGCTCACATTTGGTGGGAACACCGCGTGAGCAACGAGCGTGTTCGACACCTTGTTTATGGCACAGGAAAAGGAAATGAACCGCTCAGCACCGTTATTTCACGCATCAGGCTCCGATGGCTCGGCCACGTGTTACGCATGCCAGCCCACCGACTTCCGCGACGTGTGTTGTTTGCGCGCCGGGGGTGTGGATGGAAGAAGAGGACGGGTGGCCAAGCGATGACTTGGTCCAGAGGAATGAAGACCCTCACTTCTGAGCTGGCCTCGGTTGGAGCGTCTCGGCTCCCTGGTTGGGGTCCGAAAGACGATGAACACGTTTGGTTGGACACACTTGCTGA